TAATCTGGCGTGATTCAAAAGTCACGAATCACGCCAGATTCCTTTGTTCACAACTTAAGCCTCACATCGGTGCGAGTTTTGAATTTGGTCTATACACAAATTCAAAATCTTAGAACACAAAGGCCGAGACCGAAATGATGCATGGGAAGTATGTTAATTAAATATATCTAGTGAAACAACTCATGAAACGGTTCATAAATAGACCCAAACCTTAATGACGCTTCATGCCATAACTACCACAATTCTTTTCAAAATCTCTTTTTCATATTCAAATGTCTCCTTTTAAGGATACGAAAAATTAGCATATCGAGAAAAATTATGGAAAAGAATTCTGGAAGTGTAGGAACAAAACGTCATCATACTGGACTGACAGAAAGCTTGGCGGCTGTTAAATAACACACGCTTTATATCGAATGTGTATCTGAAATGAATACATTAGAGAAAATTATGCTATTTCCCATAATACATTTTGGTCCCAGCTTCTATGCTCTATGTTTTGAAGTCGACACTGAATAACTTTACAACTGAATATGTATAATATATGATGGTAATTGAACTGAGTGGAGTGCAATTTGGACCAAAAATTGCACGACACGAAGTTCAATTACCACTTAATCATATCCTTTTTGTAATCATACACAAGAAAAAGATTGCAGGATTTGGTAGTGATTACAAAAAGGATATGATTAATATTCGAGAGGAGAAAGTAATCTGAGACACGTCTTCTATATTCTATGTTTTGTCGACAGTCGACCCCAATTGAGTATGCATTAAGTGTATGTATATATATATGTGGTTTCAATTCTTTCACGTATCTTATTGTTTTGGTCGTGGTTACAGCTATTTAAGATGAAAGAATAATCTGAGACACGTCTTCTATATTCTATGTTATGAAGTCGACAATGATTTTCCAATTGAGTATGCATGAGTGTATGTATATATATGTAGTTTCAATTCTTTCACGTATCTTTTTGTTTTGGTTGTGGTTACAGCTATTCAAGATGAATCTAACACACGTTCTCTGGGGAAGAACACAGTCACGAATAGCGCGAATCTCCACGTACCGTCTCATTGATAAACGCTAAATCTTTAAACACGAGACCAATTGTTCGAATCCTAATAAGTTTTTCACCAGCAAAAACTCTTTTAAAGTCCTCTAAACATATTTGGATAACTTTATTGCAGGTGCATGCACGTATTTTTCAATCGTTTTATGTCATTATGCCATTTGTGCAAACCGTTTTTTGTGCTGTAACGACTCAGGTCCATCCATGCCCACCTCAGGCTAATGTTGACCAACTCTATTGTGAGTCAGCTCAGCATTTTCATCATAACAGTGATGTCTACTGCTCAATGAGGGGAGTTTCTCTGCTTTATCTCTTTCCGCAAAAATCACCTTCTCTATCCCTGTATTTGCCCTGGCGTCTAGTTATTTAGTCATGAGGTTCGGACTTGGAAGACTGAGCGATCAACTCTCCCCTTCCCCTCTAAGTTAGTCGTGCAGCGTAATGTAACTGACCTCCCTTGGCGTACCCTGGGTTCCAGAGTCTCTCTCGCTCCAGTGCTTAACATTAACCAACGACCGAAAAGGACTGGGGCGAGAGGGCATCTGGTACCCAGGGTAACCTCGGGCGGGGCGAACCTCTTCCTTTAATCTTATCTTAAGACCGGGCCGTCTATTTTATCATAAATTAACATAAGCACAGTAGCTATGTAATCAGTGTACAAATCGAAAAGCTACTAAAACATATTTTGATAAACTTTAAATATTATTAGAAATTAAAATGATAATTTTATATATACGTGATAAATCATGGTGAAACTTGTTCTTTTAGAAAATCGATCCCTTAAGCTCCGACGACTATTTAAGAATACAATACACCGTTCTCATAGTGCAGTTTTCGTATGACTATGAAAAATTCACGGCACGAACACGGTCATGACACGGCAAGGGATACGCCAGACCAATCACATTGCACGAGAATTTACTCTCCATCCAATCAAATGCCCGGAACACGGCGCGGACACGGTCACGGCAAGATCACGGCACTTTTAGACCAATCATATTGCGCGTGAAAAAAATCAGCCAATTAAAATTCTAGAAAGTATCACGGTCACGGCACGTCACGCTTACGGCACTGAGCTTTTCACAGTCATACCGCGAAAACTGCACTAATGGCTGACGAGCGCAAGTAAACGAGGTCACCCAGTCATTTTGCGAGGCTGAGCAAGGCTGCTCATTCATAATAAAGGTGAATAGCGCGAATTCAGGTCAAAACAAAAGTTTTATAATTTTCTTCTATAAACTCAGATCGACTTGGTGACCTCAGATCCGTGCACTTGTCAACCATTATGAGAACTTCAATCTTCAGTTCGCCTGCAAACATTTTGACCGATTCATTAATCAGCTTCTATATACACCTCGTCAATCTTGGTATTCACATAACTGACAGATGCATCTCGGGTTTTTCATTGTTAAAACTAGCTAATCTTCTAAACTAAGAGTTAGGAGTTACAAAAATGGCTATATTTACCTCGCATTATTTCCAACTCAGAGTAGTTTTTCCCCTTTCTTTTCTGTGGGGGTAGCTGACTCGGTATCCAAAGATCGTCTTCATGTAATATTAAACAACAACAAGTGATTAATATGAGTGATTGATAACAACTGCGATGGCTAGAATATAAATATGAAGCGAAAACTTCCCATATACCAGCTTCAAGATGCATATTAAGCAACAGAGCTTTATACACGAGTATAAACGATGTCCGGAGGGGTAGTATACATTTATACATTTATACAAATATCTAATGAGATGCAT